CTCGTGGGCTGTGGCGGAGGCGGGGACGCTGGCACCAGCACCACCTCGTCGTCCGGCTCCAGCGGCTCCGGCAGTTCGGGGAGCTCCAGTGGCGGCTCGACGTCCAGCACCTGCACGGTCATTCCCGAGGAGACCGCCGGCCCCTACCCGGGCGACGGCTCCAACACGGCCAACGGTAGCATTGCCAATGCCCTGGCGCTCACCGGCATCCTGCGCAGCGACATCCGCGCGAGCATCGCCGGCGCCAGTGGCGTCGCCACCGGGGTGCCGCTTCAGGTCATCATCGAACTCGTGAACACCAACGCGTCCTGCGCCGACCTGAGCGGCTATGCGATCTACCTGTGGCACTGCGATGCCCAGGGCCGCTATTCGATGTACTCCAGCGGCGTGACCGGCGAGAACTACCTGCGCGGCGTGCAGGCCACCGGCAGCGACGGCACTGGCCACCTTCCACGACCATCTACCCCGGCTGCTACGCGGGCCGCATGCCGCACATGCACTTCGAGGTCTACCGCAGCACGACGACGGCGAGCAGCTGGAGCAACAAGCTCAAGACCTCGCAGATCGCCTTCCCGACCGACGTGAGCAGCGCGGTGTACGCCTCCAGCGGCTACGGCAGCAGCGCGGCCAATGCCGCCGCGATCAGCTTCTCGACGGACAACATCTTCAGCGACGGTTACACGGCGCAGCTGGCGTCGCTGACCGGCTCGGTCAGTGCGGGCTACGTCGCCACGATCCGGGTGGGCATCGCCGTATGACCCTGCGCGCGCTGGTCGTCGACGACGATGCGGAGATCCGCACGAGCCTGGCGGCCTACCTCGCCAGCTTCGGCTGGCAGGTCAGTGCTGCGGGCGACGGCCAGGCGATGCGCCAGATGCTCCCGCTCGCGAAGTTCGATGCCATCGTGCTGGACCTGATGCTGCCCGGCGAGGATGGCCTGGCGCTGCTGCGCTGGCTGCAGACCCTGCCCGACGCGCCGCCCGTGCTGATGCTGACGGCGCGCGGCGACACGATGAGCCGCGTCGTCGGCCTGGAGCTGGCGCCGACGACTACCTCGCCAAGCCCTTCGAGCCGCGCGAGCTGGTGGCCCGTCTGCAGGCCCTGGTGCGCCGCGCGACCAAGGGCCAGGCCGGCGGCGTGGACGATGACACCCGGCTGCTTCGCTTCGGCCGCTGGCGTTTCGACCGCATGACGCGCCAGCTCATCAACGCGGAGGATGTCGGCATTGCGCTGTCGGCGGCGGAGTTCCGGCTGCTGGCCGCGTTCGTGCAGCGCCCGGGCCGCGTGCTCAACCGCGACCAGCTCATCGAGCTGACCCGCGCGCCCGGCGTGGAG